GCCGCATGAAGAACCGTCCCCATATAAGGGCGTTTGTGAGCCCGGGAAGATGCGAAATCCGTACCGGTATAAAATGTGAAGCAATGTTACTCGGATCATGGACCGCCCAGCACGATCGTGTTTGCCACAATCCTAGATACCTTGGGACGAGATTCCAGCTCTTTTTGCCTTCAAACGGGCCCGCCGCATGAAGAACCGTCCCCATATAAGGGCGTTTGTGAGCCCGGGAAGATGCGAAATCCGTACCGGTATAAAATGTGAAGCAATGTTACTCGGATCATGGACCGCCCAGCACGATCGTGTTTGCCACAATCCTAGATACCTTGGGACGAGATTCCAGCTCTTTTTGCCTTCAAACGGGCCCGCCGCATGAAGAACCGTCCCCATATAAGGGCGTTTGTGAGCCCGGGAAGATGCGAAATCCGTACCGGTATAAAATGTGAAGCAATGTTACTCGGATCATGGACCGCCCAGCACGATCGTGTTTGCCACAATCCTAGATACCTTGGGACGAGATTCCAGCTCTTTTTGCCTTCAAACGGGCCCGCCGCATGAAGAACCGTCCCCATATAAGGGCGTTTGTGAGCCCGGGAAGCTGCGAAATCCGTACCGGTATAAAATGTGAAGCAATGTTACTCGGATCATGGACCGCCCAGCACGATCGTGTTTGCCACAATCCTAGATACCTTGGGACGAGATTCCAGCTCTTTTTGCCTTCAAACGGGCCCGCCGCATGAAGAACCGTCCCCATATAAGGGCGTTTGTGAGCCCGGGAAGATGCGAAATCCGTACCGGTATAAAATGTGAAGCAATGTTACTCGGATCATGGACCGCCCAGCACGATCGTGTTTGCCACAATCCTAGATACCTTGGGACGAGATTCCAGCTCTTTTTGCCTTCAAACGGGCCCGCCGCATGAAGAACCGTCCCCATATAAGGGCGTTTGTGAGCCCGGGAAGCTGCGAAATCCGTACCGGTATAAAATGTGAAGCAATGTTACTCGGATCATGGACCGCCCAGCACGATCGTGTTTGCCACAATCCTAGATACCTTGGGACGAGATTCCAGCTCTTTTTGCCTTCAAACGGGCCCGCCGCATGAAGAACCGTCCCCATATAAGGGCGTTTGTGAGCCCGGGAAGATGCGAAATCCGTACCGGTATAAAATGTGAAGCAATGTTACTCGGATCATGGACCGCCCAGCACGATCGTGTTTGCCACAATCCTAGATACCTTGGGACGAGATTCCAGCTCTTTTTGCCTTCAAACGGGCCCGCCGCATGAAGAACCGTCCCCATATAAGGGCGTTTGTGAGCCCGGGAAGCTGCGAAATCCGTACCGGTATAAAATGTGAAGCAATGTTACTCGGATCATGGACCGCCCAGCACGATCGTGTTTGCCACAATCCTAGATACCTTGGGACGAGATTCCAGCTCTTTTTGCCTTCAAACGGGCCCGCCGCATGAAGAACCGTCCCCATATAAGGGCGTTTGTGAGCCCGGGAAGCTGCGAAATCCGTACCGGTATAAAATGTGAAGCAATGTTACTCGGATCATGGACCGCCCAGCACGATCGTGTTTGCCACAATCCTAGATACCTTGGGACGAGATTCCAGCTCTTTTTGCCTTCAAACGGGCCCGCCGCATGAAGAACCGTCCCCATATAAGGGCGTTTGTGAGCCCGGGAAGATGCGAAATCCGTACCGGTATAAAATGTGAAGCAATGTTACTCGGATCATGGACCGCCCAGCACGATCGTGTTTGCCACAATCCTAGATACCTTGGGACGAGATTCCAGCTCTTTTTGCCTTCAAACGGGCCCGCCGCATGAAGAACCGTCCCCATATAAGGGCGTTTGTGAGCCCGGGAAGCTGCGAAATCCGTACCGGTATAAAATGTGAAGCAATGTTACTCGGATCATGGACCGCCCAGCACGATCGTGTTTGCCACAATCCTAGATACCTTGGGACGAGATTCCAGCTCTTTTTGCCTTCAAACGGGCCCGCCGCATGAAGAACCGTCCCCATATAAGGGCGTTTGTGAGCCCGGGAAGATGCGAAATCCGTACCGGTATAAAATGTGAAGCAATGTTACTCGGATCATGGACCGCCCAGCACGATCGTGTTTGCCACAATCCTAGATACCTTGGGACGAGATTCCAGCTCTTTTTGCCTTCAAACGGGCCCGCCGCATGAAGAACCGTCCCCATATAAGGGCGTTTGTGAGCCCGGGAAGCTGCGAAATCCGTACCGGTATAAAATGTGAAGCAATGTTACTCGGATCATGGACCGCCCAGCACGATCGTGTTTGCCACAATCCTAGATACCTTGGGACGAGATTCCAGCTCTTTTTGCCTTCAAACGGGCCCGCCGCATGAAGAACCGTCCCCATATAAGGGCGTTTGTGAGCCCGGGAAGATGCGAAATCCGTACCGGTATAAAATGTGAAGCAATGTTACTCGGATCATGGACCGCCCAGCACGATCGTGTTTGCCACAATCCTAGATACCTTGGGACGAGATTCCAGCTCTTTTTGCCTTCAAACGGGCCCGCCGCATGAAGAACCGTCCCCATATAAGGGCGTTTGTGAGCCCGGGAAGATGCGAAATCCGTACCGGTATAAAATGTGAAGCAATGTTACTCGGATCATGGACCGCCCAGCACGATCGTGTTTGCCACAATCCTAGATACCTTGGGACGAGATTCCAGCTCTTTTTGCCTTCAAACGGGCCCGCCGCATGAAGAACCGTCCCCATATAAGGGCGTTTGTGAGCCCGGGAAGCTGCGAAATCCGTACCGGTATAAAATGTGAAGCAATGTTACTCGGATCATGGACCGCCCAGCACGATCGTGTTTGCCACAATCCTAGATACCTTGGGACGAGATTCCAGCTCTTTTTGCCTTCAAACGGGCCCGCCGCATGAAGAACCGTCCCCATATAAGGGCGTTTGTGAGCCCGGGAAGATGCGAAATCCGTACCGGTATAAAATGTGAAGCAATGTTACTCGGATCATGGACCGCCCAGCACGATCGTGTTTGCCACAATCCTAGATACCTTGGGACGAGATTCCAGCTCTTTTTGCCTTCAAACGGGCCCGCCGCATGAAGAACCGTCCCCATATAAGGGCGTTTGTGAGCCCGGGAAGCTGCGAAATCCGTACCGGTATAAAATGTGAAGCAATGTTACTCGGATCATGGACCGCCCAGCACGATCGTGTTTGCCACAATCCTAGATACCTTGGGACGAGATTCCAGCTCTTTTTGCCTTCAAACGGGCCCGCCGCATGAAGAACCGTCCCCATATAAGGGCGTTTGTGAGCCCGGGAAGCTGCGAAATCCGTACCGGTATAAAATGTGAAGCAATGTTACTCGGATCATGGACCGCCCAGCACGATCGTGTTTGCCACAATCCTAGATACCTTGGGACGAGATTCCAGCTCTTTTTGCCTTCAAAAGGGCCCGCCGCATGAAGAACTGTCCCCATATAAGGGCGTTTGTGAGCCGGGAAGCTGCGAAACCGTACCGGTATAAAATGTGACCCCCTGCTGTCGGAGAAGCGCCTTGTAGGGCCGCCTTCTGGGCCGAGTCCTTGAAGCACGATATTCACGAATATTGTTTCGGAAATACTGCTTCCCAACTTCGTGATTTGGTTGTGGAGGCTCCGACAGCGATAATGTAGCTATTAGCCTTCTCCTGGGGTCATTTTTGCCTCCAGTAGTTGCTGGAGCAGGCGGCTCGAAGAGACGGAATCCTCGGTGATACACGCCGTTCTGTGGCATCAAGCATCGAGGGGTGGAGAGGTGATGTTTTGTATGAGCGAATGCTCAGCTGCTCCACCGGCGACATGTTCCGTAGGAGAACGCCGTATGCCATCAGAGACTCATTGTAGTAGCGGGTCCTGGCGTCGGTGGTGTCCTCGGCATAGCTCCCGTCAAAATAGTGGAATATCTGCGCGTTCTTCAGCAGAAGCTCCGCTGGAAGCTCCATGTATAAAAATCTCTGCCGTCAAAGCACACACTTGTCTTTATTTTGATATACTCAAGAACCTTGATTGCGTAGAGAGAATTGCTTATTCACTGGGACGAGGAGTCTTGGGGGTGAGCCATTTGTGTTGAGGGAGAAGGTGTGCGAGGCGGTGTTCCGGCTGTTCGAGGCCGATTGAGCGGGTAGGGAGGAAGTTCCCGCGCGTTGCCAGTCCGCAATGTTTGGAGTCCTTGCTCCAAGCTGGGTGAGTCGCTGAAGCAGTTGTGCGAGGACAGCTGTTCCAATCGTCGTCGTTTCCTCATTTGTCGCAGCCGGGTTGGACTGTGCTTGAGCTGTCAGATTTGTCTGACCACCAGATTCCTCCGGCCATCCTTACTCGCAATCGTGTGCCGGACGCCACCTTTCGTTCGCCGAAGGTCTCGAAGGTAGTAGTGCGAGAGATTCCCGATTCGCTCTCATTCCATGCTACGATCAAATGATGATTGACCCTAGGATCACCTCAGGAAGGTTCGCACACAGCTGATTGGTAGTGGTGGGCCCTTGACCTCAAAACAGAGTGAATGTACTGCCCATCATCTTCTTGGCTCATAGCACAAGGGCAGCGTTTTCTTCTAGTGCTGCTGCCCTTCTACCTTGCGCCAACAAACACTGTGGTTGCCGACACAGCATTCATGCCACCCCGCGGGCAGTTCAAGTCCTAGCAGCACGGGAAAATAGTGAGAGACGAGGAGAGGATGAGGGAAGTGCAGTGGAAGCAAGAGAGTAATCGTGAAGCGACTTGTGCCCTTCACAGCAACTGCTTACTCCCTACTTGCATATTCTCTGCATCCACACTGCTCACACCTACTCCATCTTCCACCTTACCATTTCGCTTCCTTCAGCCACCACAGTCAGCACCGCTCAGCCCTGGCACACACACCACCCCCCATTCCCATCTACCTTTCCCATGTTCCATTCTCATCCCAACCTCTTCTCTACTTTGTCGGGTCACTCATGTGTCGTCACCTTACCAAACCCCACTAACCTGCACTCACCTTTGCCTGGGACATAGGGAAATCCAAAACCACGGGACTGTAAGCACTGCACCTGTAGGCACCTGCACCTGTAGGCACCTGCACCTGTAGGCACCTGCACCTGTAGCACCTGCACGTAGGCACCTGCACCTGTAGGCACCTGCACTGAGGCACCTGCACCTGTAGCACCTGCACCTGTAGGCCCTGCTGCTGTAGCACCTGCACCTGTTGGCACCTGCACCTGTAGGCACCGCACCTGTAGGCACCGCAACTGTAGCACCTGCAACTGTAGGCAACTGCCACCTGTAGGCACCTCCAACTCTAGGCACCTGCACCTGTAGGCACCTGCACCTGTAGGGACCTGCACATGTAGGCACCTGCACCTGTAGGCACCGCCAGTAGGCACCTGCACCTGTAGGCACCTCTACCCAGCACTCCCACAGCCACGTGAAAGCTTGCTGTTGGGGCCTTCGGGTGGTGGGGGGTCCCGGGAAAGGCAATGGGAGGGGGAGGGGTGGTGTGGAGGGAAGGAATGACCTCCTCGCTGTCAGAACACTGCACGAATGCGAGGGGGGAGGGGGAGGGACGTGGACGGGGAAGGGGGGACATGTGGACGAGGGAGGGGCATGGGATTGTGAGGGGGCTGGCGGATAGGGGAGGGTGTACGGGGAAGGCAGGAAGTGGAAAGGAGATGAAGAATGCGTAGTGGGAGGGGGGATGGAGTCGGGAGGAGAGATGTGTAGACAGGAGGTGGGGGGAGGGGGGGGGGGAATGGAGTGGGGAGGAGGGGGCAGCAAAAAAGGGAGGGAGGGATGGAGAGGGGAGGAGGGGTGCAGAGAGGGGAGAGGTTCACTGAGAGGGGAGCGGGTACGTGGAGAGGAAAAGGGGTGGTTGGCACGGTCCCAGCCGTAATCGGGGTGGCGAAGTGGCTGCAAGGGTCGTGGCAATGACAGGGCTTCAGTGTTTTTTTTTTTTTTTTTTTTTGCGACTAGGCTGAGCATGAGGTAGAGATGGCGGCTGCTGAGACTAATGTTTGAATCGACTCAGCAACCCCTTCTTGTTGGGGTGAGGTGGTACACCGATAGGGCTCAGCATGAGGGGCAGTAGGGGAGGCCTTCGAGTCAACTAAAAACGTAAGTAATCTGGGATTGTTGAAGGGTTGCAAGTGGTGCGACAAGGCACATCATGAGGTGGAGGTGGGGGAAGGAAGTAGCGTGAGGGCCATGAGAGGGAGGCACGGTGAGGTTTGTGGTTGCCACTTTGATGTGACCACAACATGGGGGGGGCGGGCGGGTGGGAGTTTGGCCGGCGCTCACCTTGAGGGGGTCTTCCTGAAGCGTCCTGAAATTGGGCGCAGAAAACACAGGCGCGTAACCACGGCCGTGAAGTCGGTGGAAGAGAGCCTTCCTCGTTGCTAGGAATGTCGCACCGAGTTGAGCGGAGTAGGAACCGCTTCAGTTCCGCGAACAAACATTTCCTGCAGTCCCTTGGGTGAAAGAGGCGAAGGGAAGAGAGAGGTACCTATTCATTAGCTTCTGAACTGGGTGTTGGGAAGAGAGTTTCGGGGAAAAAGAGAGAGAAAGACAGCAGGGAAGAAGTGGGAGGGAGGAGGGGGGTGGCGTGTGGGAGGAAGGGAGGTTATGGGGCGCCACCAGAACGTTCGAACCTTCTTTGTCACCATGCTGGGCGTACCTTGGGTGTGGGGGGAGTGGGGAGATAGACACGTAACAAAGAAAGATGGGCGAGAGGGGGGAGGTGAAGGGGTACGGTATTAATGTTAGCTCTCAATCTCACATTTGTACTTGTACTTTATTATATCCTAGTTTAGTGTAGTTTGCACTTAGTGTTTGGTGGGTGTACACCCACATCCAACCAAACCCAAATATGATCTCCAAGAAATCTCCAACCCACCAATTGGAGATTGTCTTGGGATTACCCCAATTCCCTAGGATTGCCCCTGATTCTCTCTCCACCCCTACCTGCCCATTTCCACGTAATTAAAGAGCCTTGAGCTCATTACTAATGTATGGATTCTTCGCTCAAGTTCTAATATGGTATCAGAGCGGTTCAACCGCACACGCATATCGTTATCCTCATATCTCAGCGGGCTCTTGTCCCGCTTTTTTTGGCGTAGCGGACATCAATCCTGTCGTCGGTGATTCTCGACTCCTTGGCTGAAAATTTTCCCGCGCTACTCTCTCTCCTTCTCGACGACTTTCGCAACTTCTCTGGTAAGCGCATCGTCGGTGCTTAAATCAATCCCATTTTTGTTCACAATCATCTTCGCTCCACTTCTTCTCGTCGGGCCGCCGCCCGTCGCCCTGCAGCTTCTCGTCGGGCTGCCGCTCGTCGCCTTGCAGCTTCTCGTCGGGTCCTTCGCCCGTTGCCCTGCATCTTCTCGTCGGGCTGCCGGCCGTCGCCCCGCAACGGCACTCCGCAGCTGAACAGGTGCAGCCGCGCAGCTGAGCAGCTATGTAGTAGCGAAGTTGAGCAGCAGCGTAGCCGCAAAGCTGAGGGTGGTGTGTGGAGGGGTGTGTGGGAATAAGGTTAGCTATCGAAATCGGCCGATTTGACCTACCATCGGGCCCTAAACTTCCTTCTACGAAACATTCCGAAACGGCTGACATTAAAGCTTTTCGCTCTTCGCGTCCCTCGGATTTTCTCCTTCTGAAACATAAACCTCACAATTCTCCTTCATAAACATAAACCCCAAGTTCTTCAATTTCTCCTTCGAAAACCCTAAACCTCAAGTCCTATCGGTGACTCAAGAGCAGCACTTCACGCAAGATCTAAAGGGTTATCGCCATGGCTTTCGCCTCGGCCACTCTCGCCCACCCCATCACCCCGCTCCACCTTGAAGCCGACGGCACTAGCTCAACTTCAAGGCATGGATACAGGGCTGACAAGCTCCCTCCTGGGTGGTGAAGTGGGTGGACTTAACCTCAAGGACGTTCTTCTCAATCATGGCAAGGGAAAAACAGCCCCCATCCCAAGGAGCCGTCCGATCCAACCGATGCCGTGGCAACCCAGGAGTACGAGGATCTGTGTCAAGTATCGCAAGTGGAAGAAAGCCGATGGGGCTATCATTAGCGTCTTCATCGGCTCCACTCCTCCTGAACTTGTCAACACGTTCCACAACTACCCAATTCCAATGCCCATTTGGAAGCATCTCCAGGACAAGTTCATAAATAAGATGGCAATCGGGGTGGCCCATCCTCATTCCTAGCATGTTCAAGTCCGCCTTGAGGATTACCCGCGTATGCCGGACTACATCGCCAAGGTGCAAACCATCTATGGCGAGCTCAAGGATTAGGTATTATCTTCCCTGAACAAGCTCCTGCAACCGCCCTTTTTGTTGGCCTCACCTCGGCATACGAAGTCACAAGGAAAATGCTGCTCATGTCCTCGGCGGAAGACCTTACCTCTGCTAAGGTATCCTCCGCCTCCTCTCCACCGAGAAAGACTCCTCGGCCCAAGCCAAGGCCTACGTTCCTCCGTGCTCCCGTGCCTCAAGCAAGTGTCGCATCAGCACTCGGCCTCGGCGTCCTTTTAGAGCAACCGCTTCCCTCCATGCACCCCATCGTCAAGTATGGAACCGTAAGGGACAAGTGTGTGGTGGCACTAACCACCCCCTCGCCACGTGCTTCTAGAGGAAACGCCGACGAATGGATGCCATCCATGGAGTCGACAAGAAACCGCCGAAATAGATGCGTCCTCGCAAGGCCAACGTAGTGAGGCACATGACCCCGCCCAGGCTAGTGCTACTGATAATGCTCCTGCTGATGTGCGCATCAACTTGTGTGTTCCCTGGCACAACCATGATTAATGAAGCAACTTCGCAGACATCGCTCATGACAGGCACCAAAATGCATAGAATTCATACTCGATAGCAGGGCCACTCACACAGGGCTCAAGGAGACACTCTCCTTCAACCTTACGCAACCACCCATTCATCCACAGTCCCGTGCCATGCCTTCCCATTCGGCACTGTCACTGGCATGTGCGTGCCTTCACTACGCACAATCTAGTGGCTCAAACGGAAACTTATAAATCAAACTTACCATCTTCTCGGAGGAACGAGGACTATTGCGACATCATCTATCCACTCACCAACAAGCCCACCCTCAATAGCGACGGCCTTTTACACGCTGCGAGTACCCATCCACAAGTCTCAATCACCCACGCACAAGCTACTATCACACCATGCTCGTGTCGTAGCTTCTCCAACTTGACCATCCTCTACCGCCATCGGCTCGGGCACCCAAAATTCCGCACACGTGCTGACATGGCCTCCAAGGAAACTTCTTCTCGGCCTGCCAGCCTCACTTCCTCTCCACCTGACTCACCCGCCCCCATGGGCCTTGACTGTACCAGGAGCAAACTAGCCAACAGCCCCACCTGGCCTCACCTCAGTAGCAGCGCCCCACTGGACCTAGTGCACCTGGACGTTTGGGGCCCTGCCCCGGTTGCCGCACGGAATGGCCATCACTATTTCTTTCTGATAATTGATGACCATACTCGCTACGTCTCTGTGAACCTCTTCCACACTAAGGCTGAGGCCCCGGAGGCAATCATGGCAGGTTAACCAGGCACATACCTCCTTTGGCACCAAGGTCAAGCGTTCTCCACTCGGATGGTGGTGGTGAATTTTGCAACGACAAGCTCAAAGCCTACTGCTCCTCCCTTGACATCCTGCAAAACTTCACTCTTCTTGATAGACAGCAGCAGAACGGCATAGCAGAGAGCGCCAATCACACACTGAGTAGATCACTCGCTGCCTCCTCAGTCACCAACGCACCACTCTCACTCGGGGGGTACGCCCTCTATCATGGCCCTCCTCTACAACCTCTATCCCCACCCGCATCTTCCCAACACAACTCCCACCACTCTGGCTTGGGAAAACACCAGTGCTTGCCCCTTCACGTCTGGGGGTGCAGAGCCTATGTGCTCCCAACCCCTAGGCTCGACGGCGGCAAGGTGGCAAGCTTGTCCCAAAACTCAAACGTGCATATACTTGGGATAACGCTGATTCCCCTGATTACCTTTTCTTCAACCCCACCACATCAACAAACTCGTCCCGAGCCGAGATGTTGTCTTTGATGAGACTCGCCCCTTCTACTCCACCTTGGGGGGGGGGGGGGGATCCCCCCTCCGGACCTCCCTCTCTTGTGTGGGCTGACTTTGATGCACCCTCTGAACCT